GCTGGGTGGATAAACTAACAAAAAAGGACCCCAAGAACATCCCACCCCCTCTTCCTAAAAGAGATGCTGCTTCTCTTTGTCCCTTGGAAGATTTGTAAACCACAGATAACTCTGTTTAATCCTTTTGAAGGCAAGGTTTCCAGCAAATAGTTCACTACACAAAAAAAAGTCACCAGTAGCCACTCTGAAACAGATTTAAGGAATTTGAGGGTTACAGGTAAAACTAACTAGTCTGCTTAAGAAGCAAGCTGGTTTTATAACAGAAAGGTTTTATAACAGAATTAGACTAGTGCTACAGAAAGCTAGGTCTACTGCTTCACATCACCTGCATTTAACTTCACCAGAGAGAACGGCATTTGGTGTTCTCATGGCTGGAATGACCAGATGAAGTTCTTTTTAAATGTACACCCCAAAGTGGAAAAAAAACCCCAAAAACAAGCAAGGTTGAGAATCTCATTTGTAAGCTGTAGGACACTCATGCAGCTGAGGGTTTTTATTTGCTGTTGCTGTTTCTGTCTTTTCATAATTTAACTGCAGCCTCAGCTTTCAGAAAACAAGGTGAATAAGGTGTTTGCACAGACGATGCTCCTCTGTCCCACCCCCAGCTTTCAGCTTGCCCATACAGACTCACTGGGCACTTCTATTAGCAAAGCCAGGCAGGTAATAACAGCGAATAAAAAGCCAGTTCGATGAAGCACTGGCTCCTTTTCAAGTAAAGCAGAGTACCACTACAGCATGAATGACTCAATCATCTACTCGAGAGCTATTACTTGCAGTGATGAAGCAATGTTAATTGGATAATGGCCTGCTGCCAGCTAATATTGGCATGACCTACAATACCCCTGGCTGACAGCCGTGTCTCTCTCTCTATCACACCTTTTTTTGTAATCTGGATGGGAAGTGGAAACCATTAAAAAGCCTTATAAGTGCCATTTAACTTCTTATCATGAATTAAAAGCTTAATTAAGTGCCTTGTTAAAGGAAGGAAGACCAGTTTTCATGATTAAATAAAACAAAACAACAGTTAGGGGTATGAAATGAATGAGTAAATTTACAGCTTAAAACTCGTATCTTGGAAAATACTAATGCTGGGTTGCATTTAACAGTAGCTGCTAGAGGAAAATGGCACAATTGCTGAAAAAAACACAACCCCTATGTGAAAAGCAGGCAACGTTCTAGGTACCAAAAACTGCAAATGAAGAGAAAAGCGTAGAAGTTAAGAGCTGTCAGGGTCCTTTTATTAGCTGTAGGCAGCTGACACACTCCATCCCTCTAACTCTGCTCTGAGGGCTGATAGTTCACGCACCACGGCCACATCTCAGCCCTTGTTATTACGTGGCTGTTTTCCCAAGCGCTTATCTACACACTAAAATACGCTGCTTTAACAAAAAGTGTAGTATGAAATCAAACTACTGAGGCTAGCACCACAGGGTTTATGGAAACTCTTCAATCAGTGCAGAATTAGCTCCATACTGACTTAGCTGATTAGGGAAAGGTTTGAACTGAGGCACGTTATGTCACGCTTGAACTGACCTGAAATGTCTAACACAACGTTTTGCAGCGGTTTAAAACCCTGTAAGTTCAACCAGTCCCAATTCTGTGTGTGCACAATGTCTCCCTACTGAAATGACTGGCATATCATAAAGACCGCTCTCACTTGTAATTGGATATAAACAAGAAATAATGTAAAAAAACATCTGTTCACTGTTTAGCTAGACAACAGTTAACAATGTCTGGATGCCAGATTAACAAACAGATTCTAACATGCTATGAAGGGAAAAAAATAATTCTGCAATTCAGACTTCAGAGGCAGATTTACTGCTTTGAATAATAAAAAATAAGTTCTTTTGTTTTGATGTTAAGCTCCCTCACACCAACATTACATGAGTGTAAAAGCTTTCTATATAAAGCTTTATCCAGCTCCAACATAAAACCTTTGAGAAATAATAATGCCCTTTCTCCACAATTGCATACTTTATCCATTTTCAAACCACGACAGAATTTAAAATGCAATGCTTGCATGGTTGACTTAAAAATATCTTTGTTAATTTAGGAGTGATCGTCACCTTCGGAAAAGTTTTGAACTGTGAAGACTATATTTAAAAACTATTTTCAATCTCTGTTTTTTTCTGTAACAACTATATGCCCACAGAAATTGTCTTTAAGCCTGAAAAAAGAATTGGCTCAGGACATTAACTTTCAACTTTTGTTTGAAATTTTTCCACTGGATGAATAACCCCCTACATGACAAATTAAGTCAGTTTTTACAGATACCTTTAGAAATAACTCCTGGGCTGCCAGAGCTCTGCAGAACATGGGCTAGAAACAATAGCCTTGAGAAAAGCCATTAGCTTGTGAACTAAAAAAGACCCTGCTAACTTCTTTTAACGCAATATAACTAAGATGTTTTTTCCCCGGCTCTATCAGCTCTTAAAACCAGGAGTGTTTCAGTTCCTTTTGTGGGGAGCTCCGACACTGTGCTTTGTTGGAGGCACTTCCCATATCTGAAGCAGAGCAACATCAGAAGTAGAGACGTGCACCTTGACCAAGGAGTAGACAAGAAATAACAAAGGGCATCAGGCAGGTCTCTTTACCCCAAGTGACTACCATTTGTGTGGAAGTTATTTAACTGACCACCTCACATAATAGCTATTCAAATAAAGTAGCCACTGAACAAATTAGATTCAAAGAACAGCAATTAATTTGCACATGGAAAATATCTGTACAAGCAGCCACTGGTAACTGAGGTTATCTTGTAGGGCAGGCCAGGAGAGTTCTTTTCCAGGGTGAGAAAGCTGAAGCCCTAGCACTCTGCAACTGATCGAAGCACGTGGCAAAATAACAGTGGTGGTCTTAGGTGGAGCATGACAATTTCAGAGTACTGGAAAAAACCTCAAGAACTAGATTCACTGTGTCTGCAAACCCATGGACTTCACTGGAGCTGCAACAGCTGCCAATGTAACCCTAAGTTACGAAAACTTTTTAGTCTTTCATTGAATTGTATTTTAAAACGTAAAACCTCAATACTTCATTTATCCAAAGGAGATTCATTAAAATAAATATCATTTATGGTTTGATAAGAGGATTTTTTTTACACATTATCTCATGTAAAACACATAGTAAGACAAACTTTTGTGTTTTAAATCTTCAGTGTCATATGAACATCGGACTGGGTCACCAAATGCAGACACATCATGATCCCTCCACCACCCTGCTCCTCCCACTGGTCTGTGGCTCAGCATCTCACTGCTGCTGTGTTTAAAAATCTGCTAATTTCCTATCTACCTTTACTAAAAGCCAGTGGAAACCCATCGATGCTTGTGCAAATGTTGTCTTTTAATATTAAAGATAAACTTTTATCAGCCGTTTCATCTTCTCTGCCTACACAGAGCTGTAGCACATTGCAGTTGTCACACCAGCAGGATGAACCTGCCAGGGTCTTGTCTTCTCCTCCTTTAGGCCAGGCTCCTTCTTCTGAACATCTCAGTCACTCTTGTATATGTTTATTTGAATTTCAATTAGTTTTCTTTATCTAACTTGACCTGAATCAGACACGGAGGTCTCACTAAGGCTTTGTCAAAGAGCACTGATACTCTCCTGTCTCTTCCTACCTGTGCACCCCTGGGCATGTTTTGTCACCTCCATGCTCCCACCCTTGCTCTGCGGTGTGAAAGCTGTGCGACACTGACCAAAACTCAGTTCTTCCACTGGAAATTATTAGTGGACGCTGCAGAATCATAGTGTGCATCCTCATACGTTCTCTGCAATATCTCTAAACTCCTATGCAAAATGTCTCGGTTGAAATTTCTTCATGAGTAATATTCAGTGTCAAGACTCCTGAAGTCCCACCCAGTGACCTACTTCTTCTAATGCTCTCCAGCTTGTGCCATGACAACATCATGATGTCACTCAAGTCTCTGGAGAGCTAAACCAGGGGGGGAAAAATGGTGTGTGATACTTTGGGACCTGTCATCATTTAAAAACACACCATTCTTCTTCATGGGCATTAAGCAAATGATGGTGATAACCCCTCTGTATGCCAGAGTACCTTCCCACTGGGTGACTGCCATCCTGTGCCTTGGCATCACTGCCCCTGATTCCGCCCGCCCCAGCCGGAGATGCCAGGCAGGCAGTGCCGAGGCGGCGGCTCACGGCAGCCCTGGCCAGCAGACACACGTCTCCCCTCCGTGGGCAGCAAAGCCACCGGCAGGCCCTACGGTAGCTGTGCTGTCACGGCCGTATGGCTGTGAGGAAATTACAGTGGGGGTGGAAGCCAGCCAGTAAGATTTTGTGGTAAAATAAAGTAAACTTTCCAGTGAGGTATGTATTTTCTACGTCCCTTGGTTTCCTGCTGTGGGAGCTATGCTGCATGAGAAAAACCCTGCTTTTTGACAGACAGTGTTCATGGTTTCTTGGTGGAAAACACACAGCTCGAAGCAGTTAAATCCCAAACTCGTCATGAGGGGAGGCGAGAGGAAGCAAGATTGAATGAGGTGCAGGGGAGAGGAAAGAGGAAGACGAGGATATGAGCTGCTGGAAAAGGGTGCACAGCTACAAGACTCCCAACAACGTGACAGCTCAAATGATTTTTCAACAATAACCTGCCATCTAGCAGCCACATCACCCCTTTCAAATTTCCTGCCTGGAAGAGCAGAAGAATATCAGGGTCCTGATACCGCCCTGAATGAAGCTACGGTAATTAAGCGTTTGGGTACAACTCCCTTGGCTGCAGAGACAAAGGCAAGCAGAAGCATCTTAAAGCTTTGCCACCATAACCGTTAGGAGTTACCACTGGTGAGGAAGGCTAGGGTGAACATGTTCATCCTTCAGTGATTTGCAACCCACCCAAACACGAAAACCACATACACAGCCGTGCCGGGGCACGCACCGACACCTGCGCCGACTCCCCTTGGCCACCTTAGCAGACTGTGGAGGTGTTCCTCACCACATGGGATGGAGGGGGCTTGTATTTACAGTGGGTGAATGGTGACATACTGTACCTCTTCTGGTAGGCTGACAACCAGGTCATTTTCCGTCTGTCCTACCAAGGCCTGCAAGAAGTACTCGCTGCAGGCAGCCAGCACCGCCCGGTGGGCGCGGATCTCTTTCCCCCCCACGATCAGAGTCACGTCACAGAGAATGTCCTGCTTCCGCTGGTCATTTAAGCAGAGGAGAATATTGGTACAGTGCACCGTTGACTCATACACATACATGGGGGAGTCAGTCTTCTCATCCACAGACATGCCGTTCACACCCTGCAGAGGAGAAGGGAGGAAGAAAACACAAACAAGGTGGTGATGAGCGATGCAGACGCTGGGCGAACATGGTGCGGTGGGATGCTGCCTGATTTCTGGATACCTGGGGACCAGGGCCAAGCAGCCCAGTAATTCTTAAATCTCAGCAAGTCACTTGGGAAAGATATTGGGAAGGGTGTTTGTTGCCGCTGGCTTTCACTCTTCTGTGCTTTGATCACCTACTCTCCCCTCAACTTGCCCCCTCAAAACCAAAATAGGGTTTAGATGGACTGCAAAGTGTTTTCCTTCAACCACCTACTCTGAATCTACTATTTTTTATTTAGTAGAGGCAATAAGATGGGGACATGGGAAATTTTAGAAGATTTTATCAAAAAAAGCAAGAGTGACTGTTGGGTGTTCTAATAGTGAAAAAAAGGACTTTGTGCTTGCTTCTGTTATTTTCTGATTAAGGGAAAAAAAACCCTCAAAACCCCAGCCTATTCTCCAGCAGACAGGCAACACTGCACATTTACACTGAAGATCTCAGCTCAAGTGAAAAGCAAGGTGGAACTGTACCCAGTGAAGACAAGTCACTAGCTACAGCGACTTCATTTCTCAATCAGAGTGATTTTAAGCCTTAAAGGGGAGAGAAAGATGTTTAGTGGCTTCAGAAGAAATCTGTTTCCAGGTATGGCTAAAGCAACACGCCTTCACCAGCAGTTTAACGCCATTTACAGAAAAGAGCAGTTTCTGAATTCCAGACCCACTGACCCAAGAAAATCCCTTGACCTGCGTGGAGGTCCAGCCCCGGGCGGCAGGGCAGCACCTGGGTGCTAGGGCTGCTCCTGAGTGCAGATAAGTCTCCCGCTCCTGACAGCAGAGTGGAGCTTGGAAGGACGGACGTAACACACCCGTTACAACTGTCTGAGCTAGGAGGATCTCTGCTTGCTGTTCTGCAGTTTCTGGCACAGGTAGAACTAGCAATGCCTCTGAACACGGGGACCAGACTTGCGGTGGTGATGGTGGGTGGGGATCAGCTTCCCCCAACACCCAACACCACACAAACTCCCTTCGTACTTCAAGACGTTGAAGCAATTCTTTTACTCAAAACTTTCTGCCCAGCACCAGGCTGAATCCTCTTTGCATTATTTTCCCATTTCAGTTTCTCTGAGTAGAAAAGTATAAAAGCTTGTGTGGTGTCTGAACACACCATGTACCCCGAAACAAACCGAACACGCTTGGTTTAGGGCTTACATGGGAAAAAGGATTATTTGCATGTATTACTCTAACTGCTGCTGAAAGGAAAGTCGTGCAAATGCACATATTTCAAGTATTTTAAAGAAACTCTTTTTCCTTGTTACAAAAACCAGTCACCTTCTGAGAGGTAAGATTCAGAGGCATATAGGGCTAAGGGCAACAGACGGCGGGTGGTCTTCTGGTATAATACTGCTTCACTGTAAATATCTGACCACTGTAGCGAGTAGAAGCAAAATTCCTCCTCTGCTACTTTTTAACCTGGATCTCTGCAGCATTTTCCTTTGCTAGTACAGTATATGGGTACACAGGTAGACACAACATGACTGCAAACTGTTTTTCTTGCCATGAGTTCAAACCAGGGTATCATTTTCCTACTGTGTTATTTGAAAGATACTAACAATCTACCCAAGAATGGACTTAAGAGGACTTGCTTGTTACTTTAAGTATTTACTAGACTTCTCAACGATAAATCCACCACCTCACCTTTATAGGAGTATTTTTAAACCAGTGGCTATGATGACTCTTTCTATAAAGCAGGTGTTTGTGTCAACATTACAAAACTAGAATATTACTGGAAGTCTGAATGGGATGCTCGCAGCTTCTCTTTTACTGGTATTTTCAATACTTACTGCTGACTCATGCTACACTTCTGAGTACCCAGGTGAAATGCCTACATGAACAGAAAGAAACAAATCAACCAACCCAGATTAGCCCTTCACTGACTTTCAATATCCAGGGAGAAGATAAATAGTTGCTTATTGATCTGCATACAGGTAGAGGAGGGAGACACTGTGAGATTTTTAGGCTACTGATTGGTTTTCTTAACCAGAAGAATTTTTTTTTTCCCCCTCCTCATAAATTTAGACTAACGAGAAGAATTGACAGCACTCATTTTATTAGCACTCCAGTAAGGTGAAAGAGAAAATGATACTTAGCTCTTCCCACTCTTAGCTTTCTGTGTAACTGAACTCTGATGCTAACGATAGCATTATAATGATCTTCTAAGTGGTCACTCTTGCGTGCTATGAAATGCAAGAGTTTACAAGAACAATCTGCTGGGAAAACCTGAGAGTTGCAAATGACAATGCAAAGGAGAAAGGTTCTTTTCTGTGTTTTTTTTCTTTTTTTCCAGGCATGTCTTATGCCTGTAATGTCTCAGATAAAAAAATGTGCAAGAAATCTGAAACCTGGCAGGTAATTAACAGAACATCAGCTATATTTTCAGTGCCTTTTAAAAAAAACCCCCAAAACCACTATTTGCCTGAAATAGCAATCCTTCTTTACAGTAATAGTGCAATTTGTGTGAATCAAACCCTGAATTACTTGGTTACTAATTAGTAATTTCCCACTTTTTAACTACAGCTCTTATCAAGTGTATTTTTTCAAAAAATTCATTGCATGCCCTGTGAAGTGCTGAAAATACCATGGTGTATTTCCCCCCCGGGGAGTGAGTCTGCCTTCTGTGCTAGGAAACCTGACCAACGTGATACTGAGATGCTGGGGCTGCGCATCGCACCATCGGCTCCAGCAGATCCTTAGCCACGCTCCCAGGAAGGACCTTCACCCAGCTGTTTGCATTGCCACGCTTTCCCAAGGTGACTGTTGTGTCTCCAAGGGCTTCCTCAAAGCGAGTCCATGTTGTGCCCCTTCCCACAGCTGCCGAGAGCCCACGTGGATGCCCCAGCCAGCGGCTGCAATCTCAGCCCGACACAGACTTCCCCTGGCCATGCCCCTGGCTGCTCCAGGAAGCACCCCGAGCCCTGCATTGCGCACAGGGAAGCCAGGTCTGGGCTACAGCTCAGGACCACCTATTTATCAGCTTTTAATGTTTCAACAGAAGTGATTGATGGTCTTCCCTTTTCCACAATCTGCCATTGACTGAATGACCTCCAGGCACGAGGTGTTTCCTCTCCAAGAGGGTTTTATCCTGCAGGACAGGAGCAAGATGGTGCAATCCTGCACTGGGAAGTATATTGTTCATTTTCACAGGGAAAGGATTTAGAGTGCAAAGAGAAAAGGTCACTGTAGGGCTTTGGCACACATTAGCAAGAAAATTAGCAGAATTCAACTTTTTTTTTTTTTTTTTTCCTCTCCTTGGAAGAGAAAAGTAAGGATTGGGTATTAAGTCTGAACTCTGAGGCAAGCCGCGCTGGAAGTCTTTTATACAGTGTTAATTCAAACCGCATAATTTCTTGCTGAATTCTGTATTATGCTGAGTTTGCAGAACCTTCTTCATGGAAATCATTGTTACACACTTGGTATTTCTTCAGACCGAAGAGAGAATGTCTTAGCAAGCCTTTCTCTGGCTCAAAAGAACACGCTGTGCATTTGTTTGCATATAGGTCACCATACTGCCAGAAAAAGCCTCTCTGAAACAAAAGTTTCCAGAAACTGGCACAAACTATTGTAGGCAAGGAAAGCACCATTGAAACCTTGCCAAAAAAGTTGCTGGTAAAGGCCAGCAACTGCAGTGAAGCAAACTGGAACGTTGCTTACACTGTTCTTCCACAGCTACGGGTGGGAGATCCCATTGAGCCCTTCTGCATGGGCAGCGTGGAGGAGGCACACAAAACCTCAGGAGACCAAAAAAATTGTGCGTGGAACATCCAAATCACTTTGGTTTGCAGCATGTTGTCTCTACTTGGCTGGCACTCACCCAAAACTCTCCAGGAACTCATGAACACACTGACTGAACTACTACCAAAAATACATTACCTATCACGAAAAAACAGCTCCTGCCTCACAAGACTAAAGGGCGGGCAACGTGGTGTCTGTTTTTAAAGGGAAACATTAGGGGAGAGAAAATCTTATCAAGACACACCAGAAAGTCCTGCATCAGAACTGGGTTAATTACGTGAAAAGGCGAATTTTGATCATGGCCAAGCTACAGAGCACTTAACCAGGCAAATCATCATCGTGACAAAGCAGCATGGCTTGTGCAAGGGGGAGTCATGTCTCTGATGGGCTCTATTGGAATTCCTGAAGTGTGTCAAATTAGCTGCGAGGAACGCTGGTACATGTAATTAGTACTGACTTTCAGAAATCCTTTGACAAAACCTTTACAAAAGGCTGCTAGAGAAGCTCAGTTGTCATAAGGTGAGAAGTTGCATCAGGCTGGAAATCACTTTGGCTAAACTCTGCTCAACAGAGAAGGGATGCAGGGACAGTTTTCAGCAGGTTAACAGTGAAATTCCTCCAGAAATGAAACAGCAGCAGTGCTGGCAGCTCACATCTGCCTATGGCCGTGCCATGTAACACATCTGAGCTTGGCTGATCCCTAAAGCTAAAGCAGGGTTGGGCACACTTAGTACTTGGACGGGAGACTGCCTGGCCATACTGAGGTTCTAACAGCAGCCTGCCACTATCTACTGTGAGGTCCTCAAGAAGATGGAGCTGGATAATGGGAGCAATTTGAAACAACAGAGGTTTAGACTGGACACAAGGAAAATCTGAGGAACAGGTTGCCCGGAGAGGTTATGTCATCTCCATTCTTGGAGGTTTTCCAGACCAGACTGGATATAGTGCTGAGTAACCTGCTCTGATCTCAGAGCTGACTTGCTTTGAGCAGGAGGTTGTTCTAGGAACTTTCTGAGGTCCTTTCCAACATGAATTATCTGATGATACTGTATTGATTAGTGACCACAGACCGTGACAGGGAGACTGAAATTGATAAAATTAGTTCAAATGTCAAAGGCAATAGGGATTGCTGGAAATTTCAAGAAGACTTAATATAAGTCTTCTTGAATTGGACACCAACAAGGTG